AATCAGATAAAAGAATGCAGACCTAATTGAAGAATGGAGCCAATTTAAAGATGGGCTTTCTTTTGTTTTATGGATTGGACAAACCACAAATTAAATGTGATCAGCGCTGCTGGTAAAGGAAGAAAAGTGAAAGAAATTTTTGCCGTAAGATAAAGGACATTTGGTTTTTTTTTTAGTTTGTCATGAAAAAAAAAAACGATTCAGTTTACAAAACGAAATGTTGCCACTTATAGAAGATTGTTTGTAGTTTTTCCTTTTCTTTTTTTTTTTTGTTTTATATCGTTTCTTGAATTTTTGAAATCATGAAATTTACATACCTGACAACCGTTACGTTCGGTGACCACAGCACAGTCTAAACCTGTGCAAAGCATTGGTGGACAACTGTCAACGATCAACTTTCCAAGATCAGCAATCACCGCTGATTGATCTCCTGCAAAACAGCAAAAAAAAAAAGAAAATACATTAGAAAAATTAAAAAAAAATTCAAATAAAACTTTTTCCTGAATTATAAAGGTGACCTGTTCAATTGACAAAAAAAATTGTAAGAAAGAAGAAAAAACAGGGAAATTTGAAAGAATACAGGCAACTGTAAGAAATAAAGATTTTCTTTTTCAGCTAATTTTAGATCAAAACCGTACTAACACTTTTCACTAGTGCTTCTTTAATATCGGATAAACTTTACTTCTGACAGTACTGAAAAGGAAATGAAAAAAAATATTTGTATATATGTATGTTAAAAAAAAAAAGTGTTAAAAGAAGAAGAAAGATTAGGATGTTATTGACAAACCGTTTTTTTTTTGTATTCTTAACGTCATTGTTCATTACTGTTAACTGCTATTTGCTGATTTTTCACAAATCTTAACTTCATCAGAGATTATTCAACATAAATTGTGTTAAGATTATCGATTAATTAAATGACAAAAAAAAAAAAATAGATTAGGTAAGAGAAAAAAAAAAAGAGATTCTTTCTTATTAGTAAATATCAAGTGATTTTTTACTTTTCAAACAGCATGTACAGTCTGTGACAAAGAAAAAATAAATGAACAGAAATTAAAACTATTTAATCTTATCATCTAAAATTGAAAAGTGAAAAAAAAAAGGGAAATACAAATTACGGTTTACTTAACAGTTGCTAACACACTTTTTTTTCTTTATCATCGTTATGACTACTTCCGTTCTGCCGGGTTATCATTTGGCTTGAATTTTTTTTGTTTGTTGTTTCGTGCAGTTTCAATTGAAGAAAACAATTACAATTTCTGTTTGCTTTTTGCTTTTTTTGTTCCTTTTTGAGTAAAAATAAACAAAAAATTTTTCTTGCAAAAAAGGCAGAAAAGAAAATATGTGCAAAAGAAAATATTTGGTTTTTTTAGACACATTTTATTGCAAACCAATGAGCAGTAAAAGTGTTAATCAAAAAAAAAAAAAAAAAAAAAAAAAAAAA